GCCACCATGCCCAGCTAATTTTTTGTATTTTTAGTAGAGACGGGGTTTCACCATGTTGACCAGGATGGTCTCGATCTCTTGACCTCGTGATCCACCCGCCTCGGCCTCCCACAGTGCTGGGATTACAGGCTTGAGCCACCGCGCCTGGCGCCATCAGAAAATCTTATGAAGGAATGGACACACTCGTATACACACACACAACACAACACAACACAACACAACACAACAGAGGCTTTGTGCTGCTTAGTTACTTCAGCTGAAAGTCCTTCCATGGAAAAAGTAATTGAAGATCCACCTGTGTCCAAAGCACATCTCCACTGCCCTGGTGGGAGCTGTGGAGTGAAAGAAACCACAGGTACACCATGGAAGAAAATTGGCAAAAACTGGCCAAGAAAAAAAAAAGCAGCTCAACTTCTCTTAAGAAGAGGGAATGAAAAGTTATGCTGTTCAGATTCCATTAATATATGTAAACATACAGAATAAATTCAGAAAGCACAATTCCTATGCTAGCAAAATTTCAAAGAAACTTTGTAAATTAATACCAAAGGAAACATTTTTTGCCAGTCTATTTTGTGTTCTAGAACTTGCCAAGTGCTTTGTGATATATAAAGGAAATAAGACATCGTTATTTCTCTCCAATTTAAATCTAGTTAGGGCCCAGCACGGTGGCTCACAACTGTAATCCTAGCACTTTGGGAGGATGAGGTGGGCGGATCACCTGAGGTAAGGAGTTAGAGACCAGCCTGGCCAACATGGTGAAACCCCGTCTCTACTAAAAATGCAAAAAATATCCAGGTGTGGTGGTGAGTGCCTGTAATCCCAGCTACTTGGGAGGTTGAGGCAGGAGAATGACTTGAATCTAGGAGGCAGAGGTTGCAGTGAGCTGAGACCACATCATTGCACTCCGGCTGGGCGACAAGAACAAAACCCCATCACAAAAAAAAAAAAAAAAAAACCAACCTAATTGGGTAGACAAAACAAATGCACATTAAAAGATGAACATTCCAAAGCAGTGGGTGAGGGAAGGTGGGTGGTGTGGCTTAGATGCCTGGGGAGATCATATGCTATGGGACTAGCCAGAGACGGATCTACAACGTAAGCGAATCTGAGCAAATTACTTGGGGTGGTGATGTCCAGTTCTGGCCAGCAAGCCCAAATAAATAGCCGTCACAAGGCACTTGATGAATGTCTTCAGAGCTTGTTGCACTTTAGGGCTTACTATCTGCAAAGTGCCTTCGGTGGGTTATTCCACTTAACCCTTACACCACCACTGAAACGGGCTCCCTATTACCATCCCTATTTTGTAGATGAAGAAGTGAGGCACAGAGAAGGTACTCATCTTTCCTTAAGTGACAATATCATAAGCAGCCTGCAATATTAACCACTATACTAGCCAGAGAGTAAATGCTCAGTAACTGTGGAGGCTTTTGGTCAAAAAAAAAAAACTATCACAAGTCTGTGTTAACCTAACTATTTCTGCTAAAGTAACAGCTACTTCAAAACACAGAAATCTGGTTTGGAAACCTCATAGATATCATTGCATTATATAACTTAGCTATTGTATAAAGGATTTTCAACCACTCAGGATGTTTGCCAATGAAATGTTAAGGTCTTCTCAGCATTCCATTCAGCTTATCATGCTGATTGTAACAAGCAGAGTTTTGGCAAAATGTCGTTCTTTCCTGAATTGGAATGTCTAATTCTGCCTAGCTTTGTTAGCAGAGGTTAGGTTTAATGCATACAACTGGATTTCATCTTTGGCAGTATTTAGTCTGGAAGATCTGTTAAGAGCCATAGGAGTTAGTAGCCTTTTACCTAATGGCATTTAAAACAAGCCAAGACATGGCTACATTTCACTGAGATTTCACTTGAGGTGACCCAGTGGTCCCTGCTAGTGACTACCCTTTTGTTAAAATTCAGCCTGAAAGGGTATCAGGATCAATGAAACTAAGATCCCAAGATTCCCAGCTCTTTTTGTAGCATTTGGAATACATTTGATTGTTTTTTTTTTTTTTTTTTTTTTTTTTTTTTTTTTTTTTTTTTTTTTTTGAGACGGAGTTTCGCTCTTGTTACCCAGGCTGGAGTGCAATGGCGCGATCTCGGCTCCCCGCAACCTCCGCCTCCTGGGCTCAGGCAATTCTCCTGCCTCAACCTCCTGAGTAGCTAGGATTACAGGCACGTGCCACCATGCCCAGCTAATTTTTTGTATTTTTAGTAGAGACGGGGTTTCACCATGTTGACCAGGATGGTCTCGATCTCTTGACCTTGTGATCCACCCGCCTCGGCCTCCCAAAGTGCTGGGATTACAGGCTTGTGCCACCGCGCCCGGCCTGATTGTTTTCTTATTGTCATTCACACATATTGTTTGGGCCCTAGTCAAACATATACAAAACACTTGGACTTTTTTGCACGTGTTGGAGTAAGTGTATCTATTATGCAAAAACACATAAATAATGAGACCAAAAATATATAACTCTCATAGATCAGAGAGACAGTTTTATCACATATAAATTCTCATACTGGTCCATAAGGGGTCATAAGCAAGGATGATTATTGCAGAGCTGTAGTGCAGGGGAGCTGGAAGCAATGTGGGTGGATATCACCGGGGGTGTGCGTGGAAAATGCAGAAAAGCACAGATTGGAATACTTTGCAGGAGGTAGGAGCAACTGACTGGTTGTACCCACAGCAATACGGATGGAGTGAAAAATTAACAATCAGAATTAGTCGTGAGGACAATATATCTACATAAAGTAAAACTGCAGGCACAAAAAGCAGCAAAAGAGCCTGGGTGCAGTGGCTCATGCCTGTAACCTCAGCACTTTGGGAGGCTGAGGCAGGTGGATCGCTTGATCCAAGGAGTTCGAGACCAGACTGGTCAAACATGGTAAAACTCTATCTCTACAAAAAATAACAAAAATTAGTCAGGCATGGTGGCAGACACCTATAATCCCAGCTACTTAGGAAGCTGAAGCAGGAGAATCCCTTGAGTCTGGGAGGCAGAGGTTGCAGTGAACTGAGATTGCACTACTGCCCTCCAGCCTGGGCGACAGAGCAAGACTCTGTCTCAAAAAAAGAAAAAGCAGTAAAACATATTTGTGTGAGAATGCATATAAACACATGCATGTACGATAGTTCATCAAATACATGAGAATTGTTGGTTTCCTGGGGAGGAGAAACAGGAATAAAAGAGGCAATGAATAAAACCAGAGAAGAGAAAAGGCCGGGCATGGTGGCTCATGCCTGTAATCCCAGCACTTTGGGAGGCCAAGACAGGTGGATCACGAGGTCAGGAGATTGAGATCATTCCAGCCAACATGGTGAAACCCTATCTCTACTAAATACAAAAAAATTAGCGGAGTGTGGTGGTGTGTGCCTATAGTCCCAGCTACACGGGAGGCTGAGGCAGGGGAATCATTTGAACCTGGGAGGTGGAGATAGCAGTGAGCCGAGATCGCTCCACTGCACTCCAGCCTGTGTGACAGAGTGAGACTCCATCTCGGAAAAAAACAAAAACAAAAACCCCGAGAAGAGTTTTGCATGTGCCAATGAAGCCACTGTGCTGTGAGCTGATGAGTAGGACAAACTCAATCCTCTGCACCCGAGGTCCAAAAAGCAGAGAAGAAATGCATGTAACTCAAAAAGATTTTCATCTTGGGTGCTCAGCCCCGTGGCTCCTGGACAAAATGTTTGAGAGGGCAGTTAATGGTTACCAGGTGGGTTTCTTAAGCACTTTGGATGTGCTTGGACGCTCTTTAGGCCAGAGGTTCCCAGCCATGGCAGCACATTAGAGACATGTGGGGATATTTTAAAAATACCACTGGTAGGCCCCAC